TCTCCACTATAAATTTATGCTGAGCTCATACAGCATGGCTCTTTCCTCTGCAAAAGTGAATTACCTCAATACCCTCATAACCACACTCTCCCGAGAACCCAAACGACTATTTCGCACATTTAACTCTCTTCTTCGCCCTGCTGTTCCTCCTCAACCTACTAACTTGACCGCCTCAGACTTTGCAACTCACTTCACTGACAAGATCTCTACAATCAGAGAAGAGATCTCTCATCTTTCTTCTTCCCCTTACAATACTTCCCCTAACTTCACTCCCTCTTCTGTTCTATGTTCATTCGCACCTGCTACTTTGGAAGAGGTTTCTGCTCTGCACCAGTCCTCCCGCCCCACCACCTGCTCCCTAGATCCAATTCCCTTGCATCTCATCCATACTCTGTCTTCTTCTCTTTCTCCACCTCTCATTAAAATTCTCAATCTCTCTCTCTCCTCTGGTATATTTCCATTGCCCTTCAAACATGAAACTGTAACCCCAATTCTAAAGAAGCCCAATCTTGACCCTAACTCCCCATCCAACTATCGTCCTTTCTCACTACTGCCTTTTGCATCCAAGATCCTTGAAAGAATTGTGTATGCGAGATTGACAGACTTCCTCGAGTCCAACTCTCTGCTAGACCCGCTTTAGTCTGGTTTCCGCGCTAAGCACTCTGTGGAAACGGCACTGACCAAAGTATCCAATGATCTACTCACTGCAAAATCTCGTGGTCACTACTCTATCCTAATTCTCCTTGACCTGTCTGCAGCTTTTGACACTGTTGATCATCAACAGCTTCTTCTCATCCTCCGCGATATCGGTCTACAAGATATTGATCTCTCCTGGTGCTCCTCCTACCTCTCCCAGCGCTCTTTCAGTGTTTCTTTCTCTGGCTCTGCTTCTTCTCCCCAACTCCTCTCTGTTGGTGTCCCCCAAGGTTCAGTCCTTGGTCCCCTACTGTTCTCCATCTATACTGCCTCTTGGTAAACTCATTAGCTCCTTTGGCTTCCAACATCATCTCTATGCAGATGACACGCAAATCTACCTGTCTTCTCCTGATCTCTCCCCGTCCCTCTCGACTAGTGTCTCTGACTGCCTGTCTGCTGTTTCTAACTGGATGGCTGCCCACTTCCTTAAACTAAACTTGACCAAAACTGAAATTCTTGTCTTTCCTCCCTCAAGTGTTGTTACTCCTGTGTCTGTCTCCCTCCAAGTCAACGGTGCTACCATCAGCTCCTCCATGCAGGCTCGTTGCCTAGGTGTTCTCTTTGACTCCGACCTCTCCTTCAAGCCTTATTTTCAATCCATCACCAAATCCTGTCATTTCCATCTCAAAAACATTGCACGCATCTGCCCCTACTTAACGCCAGATGCAACTAAGGTGTTGGTCCATTCCACTGTCCTTTCTCGCCTTGACTACTGTAATCCGCTTCTCAATGGTCTTACGTGCTCCCTAATTGCGCCGTTACAGTCCATAATGAATGCGGTGGCGAGGCTCATCTTCCTGTCCGCCCGTACCTCCCATGCCTCACCCTTCTGTCAGTCCCTACATTGGCTTCCTATAAAATATAGAGCTCAATTTAAAATTCTGGTTCTTGCTTTCAAATCTCTACATAATGCTGCTCCCACCTATCTATCCTCCTTTATACACAAGTATGTCCCATCTAGGCCCTTACGATCTGCTGAAGACTTACGTCTATCTTCTGTCCGTACTCCCACCTCTGATGCTCGCCTTCAAGATTTCTCGAGGGCTGCACCATTCCTGTGGAACTTGCTTCCCTCCTCCGTTAGATGCTCACCCAGTCTCCAGTCCATCAAAAAATCGTTAAAAACTCACTTCTCATAAAAGCGTATCAATTAAACTGTTAATAGCTCCTGACTGATTCCTCTTCTGCAACTGTCACTAGTCTAATACTATCCTTACCTTTTTGTGTCATTTTACCCCACTCCCTCTAGCATGTAAGCTCATTGAGCAGGGCTCTCAACCCCTCTGTTCCTGTGTGTCCAACTTGTCTGGTTACAACTACATGTCTGTTCGTCCACCCATTGTAAAGTGCTGCGGAATTTGACAGCACTCTATAAATATCATAATAATAATAATAATAATAGGTAGATAGATAGATAGATAGATAGACAGAGAGATAGAGTGATAGACAGAGCGATCGATAGATAGATAGATAGATACTGTATAGATAGATAGATAGATAGATAGATAGAGAGATAGATAGATAGATAGATAGATAGATAGATAGATAGATAGATATTTTGTTGGACTGACTATTGTTATTGTCAGAACTTGGCAGGATCACAATTGTTGCCAATAAAAACTTAGTATTGTGCTGAGATGTGTCTGTGTTCTTCAAGTCGCTACAGCAATTCCATCGTTTATTGCAACATTTATAAATCACTTTATTGCAAAATTTACTAGCTATTCAGTGCAGCCCCACCTACACACCAAGTAATTAAACTTCTATATCTATAGCCAGACAGGTATATTTCTTTCCTTAGGTCTGTCTACATTAATGTCTATTCGTTTAATACTCTTTTAGCTTCATGTATTATCTCTTCCAATTCCTTTATCTCGTATTTAGGTTTTTTGAGAGTAATTTTTTCTTTACACATTTATTATCTTTATTTATATCTGTTTCATCATTAAAAGTTAAGTTTTAATGATCAATTTCCAACTTAGGACAGTGTTTCTTTTCTTCTTTCACTGTACATGCTATTGTTTTAGATGGCTTGATGTATTGACATGCTTTGCAATGTCCACAGCGGTACACACCTTTGGTTTCCGTTAGCCATGTTAAAGGTGGTTTTGATGTTCTAAATGACTGTGGACTAGAATATCCCGTAAATTGGAAGCGCAGTGTGGGATAATACTTGGAAATTTAGGCAGATTCTTTGCTATGTCTTTTTCATGTGTAAGTAACGGACAATTTTCCGCAAATATTTTGTGGACTGGGCCCCAAAATTGGTTGTTGTTTTTTGAGGTTGTCATAGATTTTTGAGGTTGGACTTTGTGATTTTTAAGGATACTCGATCTCTCCATCTTGGAGACTCTTTTAAAAGCTGTCTTAAGAATTTTGTTTTTTGAAGCGAGTTTGTAATTCTTTTGCCTCTTTAAGAAAAGATTCTTCTCTGGAGCAATTCCTCCTTGCCCTTAAATATTGCCCATACGGAATCCTGGCCTTCAGTTTGTACAGATGGTCGCTGTTTCAGTGAAGAAAATTATTACAGGATGTGGGTTTCCTGTATAATTCTGTTGTTATTTCTCCACCGAGAGATAGTTTAATCTTGAGATCTAGAAATTCAAGTTGGTCTTCACTTATGACATAAGTGAGTTTGAGGCCAATATTATTATTGTTAAGTTTAAATACCATATCGTCAAACTGAGGATGGAACCTATTCAGAATAAAAGGATGTCATCTATATAACGATGCCAATTAAGGATGTGTTCATCAAATCCAGTTTTTGTCATTTCTAGGAGCATACCAGGTAGAGACACATCATTTTTTTTTTAAATTTAATTTATACTCTTTTAAAATAATTTTGAAACAGCCTAGGTTTTCTTTAAAATGTTACCCACATATAGAAGTGAAAAATCAGTAGTCTAACTTAGTCTAAAGAGAATGGTTTTATATTACCCCAGCCGGTTAACCAGCATTCAAGCCCAGACAGGAAGGAGACAGTTACTGACGGCAGGGGAGTTGGGAGGATGTAACTCACGTTAGAGACTGGACTGACCAATTATACCAGAGTAACAACTCCCATGAGGCCTTTTGGAGGGGATTTTATGATTTGCTCCACAGTGGTGTGTACATTATTGAATATACAACGTGAATATACAGAGTCAGGATACATATTATAAAGGAAGGGCCCAATAACGAAACCGGAACATGACATTTTGAACCCGATGCTACTGTTTCACAAAAAAGAACATATTAATACAAAGCCATGTTAATAGAATAAATCAATGTAAAAGGCATATAAATAATTGCAATGGATTTTTTTTTTTTACCCAAATGTATCTTCTATTGTAGTCCACCATTTAATGAAGCTGGATAAAATGCTGTGGAGCACATTCCTATCTGGAATTAGAGTGACAGTTATAGGAGATGAGCCTGGTTACAATGTTCCATTATATGGTAACCAGGAATCATCAAGAATTGCTAATTTTAGCTAAAATGGGCACTGTCTAAACATATCCTAACTGGACTATTTTTCAGTCTGCAAATGTGCAGTCCAATTTTTTCAATTTTTTTCTGTAATACCTGCTTTCTTCTTCTACCTAAAGTCATTAATTAATATGAGGTACATTCTGTCCCACTGCTACGAGGTGCCTAATTTGCATACACACCCCATTTTCTCCAATATTGTTTTTACAGCCATAATGCTGTCAAATCATCACGGGAGGTGTAGTCCACAACATCTGGAGTGGCGAAGGTTGCTTACCCCAGTATTAGTGTACGGCTTTGGCGGCTTTCAGCCAGTTACCGTAAAAGTACCATGCTTGGCTGGTCCACCACACAAGAGAATGTCAGAGCCCTCTGTTACTTTAAATGTCCAGTCTAATTACCATAAGCATTTTGCCTTATTGCTTAAAGCATCGTGAGCCACTTTCAATTGTGAGAGAGCTTTATAGCAACAGAGATTTCTAAAAACAGCCCACAAAGGCTCGTGTTAAACACGCAGACTGGAACACGTGGTTTAAGGATGCCAGTCTCAGCACCTGTTCTTCTTGTGTGCAACACGCATATAACAATAGTCTCTCTCTCCTTCCTGGAAAGAGATCCAGGGGACAGCTCTAAAACATAAAGATCTGAAACCATTCAGTTTGATAAATATGCAAAAATTTAAAAGGAAGATTTACTTTTGCTCTCATTATTTCTCCTCCTGAGTTCAAATTATGACAGTTCCTTGCCATGACATTGTGAGTCAAAACTTCTCAAATACGGTCACAATAATACTTTTATTGTTTTATTGTTTTTATACATCTAAAAACCATTCTAGGCCCAAGTCAGAATTAAAATGCAGAGGAAAACAATTTTCCAAGAAGCGTAAGCTAAACTTGTGCTGGCAACAGGGTCCACAGTGAGGAATATCAGCTCTGGAACATACGCCTTGATCCAGGACTCAAAGGCCGGTACACGGGCGTACACCCCGGGGCGATTAGCTACAGCACATCCATCTCCCCAGCTGACAATCCCAGCCAGGAGCCAGATGCCATCCACCTCACACACCAAGGGTCCCCCCAAGTCGCCCTGGAAATAAAAATGCATTTGTGAGCAGATTTATCATTGAGAATCCGTAGATTTAGTAATATACTATAGAAAATGAAAGCATTCTATATTCAGTACATGAAATAGGTGATGTGTTTACAACATTACCCTCCTGCTGATATTTAATGATCAATTCTATGCTCTCATTTTTTCTAGTCTCCCTGAATGTTGAAACATGAGTCTTAATGCAATATTATAGAAACAGGTGTGTTTGATCTCAACAAAGACTTGTAACAGATCAAACCTTTGTACATTTCATGAGACTTACAATAGGACAACATTTCTAAACATATATTTTGAGTAGGGATTTCTCCAATGTTACAATACTAGCGAAGGAAAATGGAGAACGAATATGACGTACCACGGCCTTCTAATGTGGTTAACACAGCCTTTAACGCGATATCATGTTACATATAGCTCCAAAAATATTAAAAGTGGGATTCACTACGGCAAAACATAAAAACGTCAACTTTTCCACAAAACAGGCAAACCATCGACGAGTACTTCATATCTACAGTCAAACTACAAATCCCAAGATTCTCCACTGTGCTCGGTGTCTCCAGATGTTGGTAGTGCAAGTTTATCATGAAGGTCGTATGTAGTTAATAGATACAGAGCAGGCTATTAGTTTGACCCCTGTTAATGAATAATTAGTTATTATGTGGACATTTAACGATTAATTATTGTGACCAACCTGGCAGGAGTCCTTACCTCCCTCATTGTAACCAGCACATAGCATCTCATTATAGATACTGTTGCTACTGGGCGATGGACCGGTGTGGTAAGTCTCGTTACATTGTGTTGAATCTATAAGTGGTATTTTTACTTTCTGCAGGATGTCTGGATACACAGGATCCCCTAAATTAAAAAAAACAAAAAAACAATACATGGATCTGACAGCTATATGTGCCTATTAATAAGCAGCAAGGAGAGGCAGCTTGTTTTCTGTAACCCAGGCCCTGTCAGACAAGTCATTTCATATTTTCATATTATATGTATCTGAAATGAAAATTGGACTTGGAGATTCATTTAGGAACAAACTGGAATTCTGAATGATACACAATTACTGGACAAAGCCAAACATGTTTGTGTGCGGGTTGGGGAATCAATATTCTAAATCCCGCTCATGGTGCCAAAATAAGAGATGGCTGATGGGTACGGGACAGCCACTAAATGTTGATTTTATTCACAGATCAAATGAGAAGTGGACAATAAAAAAGATGGAGCAGTGAAATAAAATCTATATTTATATATTATATATTTATTAATGGAACACTATAGAGTTAGGAATACAAACATGTAGTACGGATTCTATAGTGACCTGTTAGCTTTTTATATTCTTCTCAACGTAATCTGTGAACCAAATGGTGGAACAATGCCCTTAGCCGTGTATTACAAAATATATACATCCAATCATATTATGTATATATCATACAGCATTCTGAATGGACAATGTTCACTCCTTTTGGCTTAGTCTCCTGATCCATTACCCGGACTGACGTGGCTGAGCCCAAACAATATCCAGCACAAGTCTAAGAGAAGCAATATCTTTATCGGCTAAGGAAAATAAATCAATGCAATGACGGTGCTTCCAGATTCACAAACATCTTCACAATTCTTAATGCATTCATTCATCTTTTTTTTTTAAATTTGAGATTTTTACAAAGTAAACTTTAACGTATAAAAATAGTTGTAAATCTAGTAGCGATCACAATGCACACTGCGTGAAACACAACTTAAGCCAAATTAGAATGCGTGTTACTTGTTTAATATTTTATTTAACATTCTCCTCCAATTCTCTCTGAAGTGGCTGAAATTGCCAAGGCATCCACTGAAGGAAGAGGAATTTCCACAAAAATCAGGGGATGATGACTGCTCCAGTAAGGTAATCACCCACAGCACTATATTACGATTATAATTTATGAAATGCCAAGTTTAACTTAAAGGGACACTCCAGGCACCCAGACCACTTCTGACCATTGGAGTGGTCTGGGTGCCAACTCCCAATACTCTTAACCCTGCAACTGTAATTATTGCAGTTTTTTATAATGTGCAATAATTACCTTGCAGGGTTAACTCCACCTCTAGTGGCTGTCTACTAGACAGCCACTAGAGGGCACTTCCTGATTTTCTTTGCTAGAGCGTCGCTGGGCGTCCTCACACTGTATGAGGACCTCCAGCGTCGCTCAGTTCCCCATAGGAAAGCATGCGCATGCGCATTAGGTTTCCTCAGCCGGCGGGCAGGATCAGTCTCGCCCACCGTCTGACGTGATTACTGGGAGGAGCGACACCAACCCGAAACCACCCCCGAGGGACATTTAAGTGACCTGAAGGGGTTTTCAGCTACCTGGGATGGGAGGGAGAGGGTACCTGCAGTGCCAGGAAAACTGATTGTTTTTCTGGCACTGGAGTTTCACTTTAAACACAAATTTCAAACATATAAAAGGCTTATTAGACTAAAATGTTCAAATAAGAATTAATTACCGATAATTTGTTGAAAACTCAGTTACTGTCTCCATATTTATCCATTTAATTCAGGTCTGCAAAAACATAAGCCACGTTGCTTTGAGGATTGTAGCAATGTTGTTATTTATATAGAATATTGCCATAATTTATTGTAAATGTGGAGAAAAGAGTTGGGGTCCATGAGAAGGCTACAGAACAGACACAGGATTATTTCATGTGATAATTTCATTAGTTGAATTTGATTTTTTTTTTTTTAATTTTACTTAAGCTTTACTTTACAGATAAGAACCATTCGGCCCATCTAGTCTGCCCAATTTTCTAAATACTTTCATTAGTCCCTGGCCTTATCTTATAGTTAGGATAGCCTTATGCCTATCCCACGCATGCTTAAACTACTTCACTGTGTTAACCTCTACCACTTCAGCTGGAAGGCTATTCCATGCATCCACTACCCTCTCAGTAAAGTCATACTTCCTGATATTCCTTTTTGTTGGGTCTTTGACAGGATGCAGGAGCGAGCCAAAAGTGAGGTACCAATTGAGAATAAGACAGTCTCATAGTAAGGGTAAGCCAAGATCGAGGGCAGGCAGCGCAGGTACAGGAATGGTGTAACAGGCAGATAGGTTAAGAGTTGGATAATACAGGATCTACAGAAGTGTATATACCGAAGAGCACAGTATAACTGAGCACTGAGGTAGTGGTTAACCGGGTTTATATAGGGGAGAGGTATCCACCGCTCACAAATCATTGGTTAAACAGTGATTAGCCCTATAAGATGTTTCAGGTGTTCTGTCCGGCTGTCAGGTGTGCGCTTGCCTAGAGTGAGTGAAGTTTACACGTGGGTTCGGCTGGGGCTTCCCGCGGGTCGGGCGTGGCATGGAGTGCCGCGTCCATGAGTCAGAGTGATGCCAGTCATTTGTCCTTGGGTGTGCAGCGAGGAGGAGGCGCCGCAGGAGTGGACGGAAACATAGCGGGGGACACCCAGGTAAGCCATGGCACTTTTAAACCTTTGCCCCTCTAATTTAAGACTATGTCCTTTTGTTGTGGTAGTTTTTCTTCTTTTAAATATAGTCTCCTCCTTTACTGTGTTGATTCCCTTTATGTATTTAAAGGGACACTATAGTCACCAGAACAACTACAGCTTATTGAATTTGTTCTGGTGAGTAGAATCATTACCTTCAGGCGTTTTGCTGTAAATAGGGTCTTTTCAGAGAAAATGCAGTGTTTACATTACAGCCTAGTGATAACTTCACTGGCCACTCCTCAGATAGCTGTTAGAGATCCTTCCTGGGTCATAGCTGCCTAAAATGCATCCAAACATTCAGTATCTCCTCCCTCTGCATGCAGACACTGAACTTTCCTCATAGAGATTCATTGATTCAATTCATCTCTATGAGGAGATGCTGATTGGCCAGGGCTGTGTTTGAATTGTGCTGGCTCTGCCCCTGATCTGCCTCTTTGTCAGTCTCAGCCAATCCTATAGGGAAGCATTGTGATTGGATCAGGCTACCACTTCTGATGATGTCAGCAGACTGCTTGTTTTTCTGAGTCTAACAGCATGCAGAGTTACAGCTTCTAGCTTGAATACAGTATGATTTTGCTATATTTATGGAGGCATGAGGGGCCAGGGGGGCAAGATGGTGGGTTTAACACTATATGGTCAGGAATACATGTTTGTGTTCCTGACCCTATAGTGATCCTTTAAATATTTCTATCACATCCCCCGTCTTGTCTTATCTTGCAATCCATGAACCAGTTTTGTAGAATTTACATTAATTCTATTTTAGGTGATTTAGTGATGATCGGTAGAAGTGAGAAACCAATTAATTCTGGTAGTAGGTGTAATGGAAATTTGGTACTGACCTTCTGAGTTCATATTACCCCATCCGGTTGCCCAGCATTCCAAACCAGTTGGGAAGACGACTGATGAACCCGGCAGGCAGATTGGCAGGATGTAGTTAGTGTAGTTGACCGGGCTGGACAACCTGACCAGAGCAATGTCCCTTCTGAAGCTTGTTTGGTTATACTGGGGATGAATAATGATTTTTTTACCGAGACTAAATTCTCATGTGGACTGACCTCAAAGAGCTGATACTTTCCCACGATTATGTCATATCGCGAGACTTACAGTGGAGCTGACCAGACCGGGAGGCAAGAGAAGGGAGCTGACCGGAGCTGCAAGAAAGGTAAGTAATAGCTCTCTGCCAGCCCCCAACAGGACCGCCGGGCTTGTAATGGGCCCGGCGGTCCTGGTCTGTATTATGGCAAAGTGAGTTGTCATAATACAGACACTCACTCGAGTATAAGTCTCAGTAGGGGTTTTTCAGCACAAAAAATGACTTATACTCGAGTATATACAGTATATCACATAGGGCAATATGTTTTATAGTCTCTGGAAATCCTCACTGTAAATATTCACAATCCCATTTGGTGGCAGAGAAGGTAAAACATCTCCAGAAACGTTCTTGGTTTCCAATGGGTTTGTTAGGTCTACTAAAATGAAATCTAATGTTTAATAACCACTAAAACTGCTTTAGCTGGTCCCTAGTGTGGCTACAGGGAGCCCAGTTCAATGGAGTATGTCTAGATAACACAATGAGGCCAAGGTTAGTGTGAATATCCTTACCCAAAATCTGTCAGATAAAAGGAGTTCTATGATACAGAGTAACTTTCTAATATCTTAACCAGCAGTGTCAAACATCAAACATTATTATTCTATTAATGGTCTGTCAAACCATGAAACTGGCCCTGTACCCCGATTTACATCTCTGATCACTAAACTGAAACACATTCCTCATTTAATAGGATTCTAATACTTATTATGAGCATGCATGATTTTCAGTATTTCGTGGTATTTTTAAATTTTTTATATTCCTTTGACATTTGTGTTAAAAAGAAATCGATCTCTTTGTGACGGAGGAGGGATGTGTTTAGAGTTATGCTTTGCCTAAATTTGGGATTAAAAAAATAATAATAATAAATATATCTATGTGACCATCACTCCAATTTTTTTCATGAAAACAATTCAAAGTGCAAATCATAAATTAATTAACTTACTATATTATACATTTTTAAAAAAATGCAATAAAATAACTTAATATCAAGGTGTGAACCCTGAGATTTTCCTCTTGTATACACAATGGGAGGGTAACACTATACAAAAATAAATAACAAAACACCAAGACATAGTGTGTAACTGTGCAACACCAGACAGTAAGTGATTCCAATTGGGCAACTCACACTCAGTCAGTAGGTGCCTTGTAAACATACCTGTACTTTACTGAAAGGAGTTTTACAAGGTGCTTACGGACTGTGTGTGAATAGACAATTATTATCTGGTGTTACATGATTACACACTGTGTCCTGGATTTTGTTATGTTTTACATTTTGGGATTACTGGAAAGAGATTTGGTGTTTTTCAGAATTGAACCTGTGCAATATAATGTTTTCATACCTCGTCCAAGGCATTGAACTATTTCACTCTTTTCGGCAGCACAGAGATCCTTTTTCTTCCCCATATTGCATGAAAGTGGTGTCCTGCTTAATAATGTGGAACACCTTCTTTTACTAGTTTTTCCTTAAATTGGGCTAACGTGGCAATCTAATTAGGTCTCTCTCTCTATACTGACTGCCAGGTGTAAAGGGCGGAGCTTATAACAATGATTGACAGGGAGCTAAGATGGAGGTGGCTCTCTCTATACTGACTGCCAGGTGTAAAGGGCGGAGCTCAGGGCCGGCCTTAGGCAATTAGGCGCCCTGTGCAAAAAGTCTTCACGGCGCCCCCCCCACCTCCCACCAAGTTGCCTGAATACAGTAACACACACAGGCACCGGGGACGTGTGTATCACGAGGCAAACAAGGCATCTGCCTTGGGCGCCACTTTGCAGGGGGCGGCAAAAAAAAGCATCCCTCCAAACCACTAGGCAGATCCCTTGCTTGCCTCGCATCCTGGGGGGCTCAAGAGCTGACCGGCTGGCCACTTTTGAGCCCCCCCAAGGCTGGCAGCGAAGGAGCATACTCACCTGAGCTCTTCCTGCTCAGCTTCCTCTGCGCCGCTTAATGAAGCCGGGAGCCAGAATATGACGTCAGTCCGGCTCCCGGCATCACTAAGCGCTGCTTACTCAGCCTGTGCGCCCCCTGCCTGCCTGCCCAGCAGCCACACTGGACTGCTGGTAAGAAATCCACTCCAGCTTTCCCAGGGAGGCTGGGTGGATTTAAAATAAATGTAAAAAATATTAGTTTGTGAGTGTTAGTGGAAATGTCTGTGTGTGTGTCTGTGAGTGTTTATTTTGAAGTGAATGTGTGTGTGTGTCTGTAAGTGTGTAATTGTGTGTGTCTGTAAGTGTGTAATTGTGTGTGTCTGTAAGTGAATGTGTGTGTGTCTGTGAGTGAATGTGTGTGTTGGTCAGTGAGTGTATATGTGTCGGTCAGTGAGTGTATATGTGTCAGTCAGTGAGTGTGTATGTGTCAGTCAGTGAGTGTGTATGTGTCGTCAGTGAGTGTGTATGTGTGGTCAGTGAGTGTGTAAGTCAGTGAGTGTGTAAGTCAGTGAGTGTGTGTGTGTCGGTCAGTGAGTGTGTGTCGGTCAGTGAGTGTGTGTCAGTCAGTGTGTATGTGTCGGTCAGTGGAGTCGTGCATCTTTCAGTGAGTGCTTGCGTCTGTCAGTGAGAGTGTGCATCTGTCAGTGTGTGTCCAAGTAATAGTGTATGTGTGTATGTCATTGTTTGTCAGTGTATATGAGAGTGTGTGTCTGTCAGTGAGTGTGCGTCTGTCAGTGAGTGAGCGTCTGTCAGTCAAAGTGCGGCCTTGACAGGAAGGGGTGGGGAAATTTAAACTCGGTTACAGGCATGTACACACACACTCAGTTAAAGGCAGTCACACATACAGGCACAGGCACAAACAATGGCACAGCTACAGCAACACACACAGACAGACAGTCACATAGGCAGTCACACACACAGACAGACACACAGTAACACACACATAGACAGTTATACACACACAGGCAGGCAGTCACACAGATAGAAAGTCACACACACAGGCAGGCAGTCACACACAGACAGATAGTTACAGACAGACACACACAGGCAGGCAGGCAGTCACACACACAGGCAGTCACACACACAGACAGACAGTCACACACACAGTCACACAGACAGACAGTCTCACACACACGGGCAGTCACACAGACAGACAGTCACACAGACAGACAGTCACACAGACAGGCAGTCACATACACGGGCAGTCACATACACGGGCAGTCACATACACGGGCAGTCACATACATGGGCAGTCACACAGACAGACAGTCACACACACAGACAGTCACACACAGGCAGGCAGTCACACACAGAGACAGTCACACACACACACACACACAAGGACAGGCAGTCACACAGACAGTCACACACACACACAGACAGTCACACGCACACAGGCAGGCAGTCACACAGACAGACAGTCACACACACACACAGACAGACAGTCACACAAACAGGCAAACAGTCACACACACACACTTACCTCTTTCCAGTGGATGCAGTTGGCTGATGGGGAAGCATCTTTCCCTCTTCCTGTACAGCAGGGGCTTCGGGAGGTATTAGCCCCGTCTCCGCCTCTCGATAAGCCCCGCCTCCGCCGCTCGGTAAACCCCGCCCCCTCTGCCGCGATTTTTTTTTTTTTTTTTTTTAAATAGACCCGGGTGGAGAATAATTAATCCTCCAGCCAGGTACCTCTTTTAGCTCCCCTGCACTCCGGCTATGAGTGAGCTGTGTCGGCCACAGGGCGCCCCCTGTTCCATGGCGCCCTGTGCGGTCGCACAGCTCGCACACCCCTAAGGCCGGCCCTGGCGGAGCTTATAACAATGATTGACAGGGAGCTAAGATGGAGGTGGCTCTCTATACTGACTGCCAGGTGTAAAGGGCGGAGCTTATAACAATGATTGACAGGGAGCTAAGATGGAGGTGGCTCTCTATACTGACTGCCAGGTGTAAAGGCGGACCAGGAAGTTTAGCCTTGAGGCAAACAAGGCATTGCCTTGGGGCATTTTCAGGGCAAGCGCCCCCAAATGCAGGGCAAATGCCTGTTAGGCTAACAGACATGCAGCGGGTGGGTGGCTGGGTGGGCGGCTGGCGAGGAAGCTCTCCCTCTGAGCTGTCGCTCAGCTCCCTCGCGCGGCAGAGTGAGGCTGGGAGCTGGAATATGGCGTCTTCGGCTCCCAGCCTCACTCTCCCGCGCTGAAACAGTTAACAGAAGAAACTATGCGCTGCCCATCCGCCTCACTGGACCACCAGGAGATAGAACCCAGCATTCCCAAAGGTAAGGGGGTAAATAAAAAAAAAATTGTTAATATGTGTGTGTGTCTGACTGTGTGAGTGTGTGTCTGTCAGTATGTGTCTGTTAGTGTGTGTCTGACTGTGTGTGTCTGTTAGTGTGTATGTGTCTGACAGTTTGTGTGTCTGACTGTGTGTGTGTGTGTGTGTCTGTTAGTGTGTGTGTGTCTGTTAGTGTGTGTGTGTGTGTGTGTCTGTTAGGGTGAGTGTTAGAATGATTGACAGGGAGCTAAGATGGAAATGCTCATTTAATATTGTTAAATATTGATGAGTAAACATAATAATAAATATCCTGGGAAGAAGCAGTTCCTCTTTCAAGGAACATTATCTTTTCTTTAACTATTATTGGAAATTAAAACGTATATATAATGTATCCTCATTGTATATTTTGTAAAGCATAGGTTGTCTGTGTGCTTGTCTGAGCAGGGACCTTTTCACCTACTGCTCCTGTACGTCATACATGTCATGTTAGAATTAAATGTTTATCTTGTTTCCTATTGTACAGCACTGCAGAATATGTTGGAGCTATATAAATTATTCTTATTGCATAAATATATTGTTTTCTAGTTTCAGTACATGGACTTACATCTTACCCAACCAAATAACTCAAAAGAAGTGATAACTTTTATTGTATATAATACACTATTAAATAATACACACAGAGACTCTAAGGCATATTTTAGATACAAAGCAAATTAAGAATGTAGCGCTTATATATAAAGAAATTAATCACCTTTTGAATTTTGGAGAAAAATGTCACTAGAAAATCGGCAGGAAAAGATGCCTAAAAAAGATAATCATACATAGTATAGATCACACTTATAAACATTTGTTATTAATGTGTAGTAAATGAACTCACAAACGGAGAGCTATCGACTTAGCTCTAGTGTAAATAGCTTCTGGGTCTATACAGGTGACCCAAACCCTTCTCACAATATATTCCTGAGGTCTGTGAATAAATGGAAATACACAAAATTGCGCAATATCGTTTGTAATATCCCAGAGCAAATAATTATGATCTTTAAGTGGGTACTCACAAAAGTAGAGTCAAAATATATTGACTCAATTTCATAGCGTTGTGCAAATTCGGTACTGCACTCCCCATTCAATGTAACGATATCGGGAACCAGGATTATTCAAAAATAAAAACAATTATTTATTTAAATACACTCATATACATAAATAAAATAGCCACAATGTGCTTAAAAATACCGGGACGCGTTTCGCCACTACCGACGTGGCTTCTTCAAACCGGATTGTAAAAAAGCAACAATAATCCTGGAACTCCTCTTCTTGAGTTTAAATATGTACAGAAACGGCGGGCAAATCCCACAGCACCTTAACCGTCACACGTCGGTACCACCCACCGGTACGGCGTGTGCGGTCCATGCCTCCCTTTCATGTTGGTACCGGGAGCGGAGACGCTTGTATTCTTTCTAATCGTTCCAATTCGTCTTAGTTTTTCAATAGCTGGTATACACCTTAAGGATTCATCATTTGATATCAAAATCGAGTCTTCTAATGTCCCCAAAAGTCCATCTGACATAGAATGATATTTATTCTCGTATACATAAAAGGAAAGAGAACAAAAAATAGAAACAAGAAAAGAAACAGCATCAGTTTTCCTATTGGTATAAATGTTTCAATCTCTTTTGTCTGTAACATTTTCGATTTATCAATTCTAGTTCATAATTATACTATAATCGATACATTGTCAGTCTGAGTTATTCATCAACATTTTAGCATTTCGGTTTTAATACAATCAATAAGGTTAAGCAATACAGATCCCAAATAACATTATAGTACTATTATATATCCCCTCTCTTTTTTTATAATATAGTAACTCATCTTTGTGTTCTATTCCACGATGATTTATAAATTGTTTTCTAAGCAACAAATTAGTTAACTGATTAAGATATTACAAGATAATCATAATAAAAGCAGTTATGATTATTATTATTTGAACCCCAATCCATTTAATCAGCAATATTAACGGAGTAATTCTCCAATCCTTTTTATATCCATGTTAACAGATTATTATGAATAAATTGTTTAAACGAAATGGTCTTCAAGTCTTTTTATGCTTATATCGCTATATATAAATTGTGCATGTCTATTGTATAATCACTACTAAAATCCAATATGGAATAAATAGTATATATACAAATATCATGCACAAAGTATATTTTAATCTAACTGCATATGCTACCACATCTAAAACTTAAAAAGGGTTTATATAAATGTTAATCTAAAAAATCCTTAAAATTAAAAAAAAAAAATTAAAAAAATAATTTAATCATAAAAAATGGCACAGCTCGAAATCCGCGTTAAGGCCATATGGAATTAACGTATTTAATCTAAAAATCCATTCCATCTCCCGTTTACCTAAATCTCTTACAAAGTCCCCCCCTCTCCAATTCTTATTTATTTTATTAATCCCCATAAACTGTAAACCCTCTGGTTTTTGGTCATGACATAATTTAAAATGGCTCGAGACACTATGCTGCTCGAAACTTGTCTGAATTTTATATATGTGTTCTCTAATTCTAATGTGCAGTGGTCTTGTTGTCCTCCCCACATATTTCAGTCCACATGGACAAATTAAAAGGTACACTACATTTTTAGTATAACATGTTATAAATTGCTTAATTTGGATTTTTTTTATCATTGTTCGATGTTATGTCTTTTATTATTCTTCGTTTACATCCTGACTTTTTACAGGCAGAACACTGACCACAACCGTAAAATCCCTTCTCATCGTTAAATATAAGGCGGAGTATCTTACATGCACTTCTCAAATAGTCCTTTGCATAGGTACATTTCATATAGTATGCTCTAAAGAGAATAAAATAGTAGAAAATAGTGCAATATTGCTTGTACTGAAAATCTTGCAAATCCAATAAGATCTTAATGAATGCAAACTCACAAAGATGGAGCCACTAAAGATTAGGCTCAAGTTGTTCACTTTGTGGGATGTAAAGGGTCCCACTCCCTCCTCTGTATTCCAAGTTCCTTATGAGGGGTAATCACAGGCTCACAGGTAAAGTATGATAAAATAACATTTATTCATATAAACAAAATAAAAAGAATATTAAAAGACCTTACAAGTTCTGTTGAACAGTCTCAAATAGCAAAACGCGTTTCGCTACTTCAAGGGGCTTCCTCAGTTGCTGAAAACTTTCCTGAATCTTTCTTCGTTTTTTAAAACCTTTCATTGCCGCTTTTTTTCTCCCTTTCTCATCATTTCCGGTTCGCCGGACTTCCGGTTTCCGGTCCTTGCGTTCCACCCTTGGAACGCACCGCCATCGCGTGTGGCTTTTCTACAGAGTACCGATCTCTCTTTTCTTCCGGTTTGTGCGTTCCACCATTGGAACGCAATTCAGGATTTCCCTAAAGTCTTTTATTTAGAATGCTTTCTGCGTTCTTTCTATGTCCATTTCTTTTTTTCTCCTTCCTTTTTTTGTACCTCACTTTGTATTTAGAAACATATCTTTGTACATAGGACTCATGACATAAAAGAATAAAAAAGAATAGAAAAGAATAAAAGAGAGTATTGATTACTGTTGGTGACATGAGAAGAGGAAATATCAATACAGAATGTAAAATACAGGGAGTGCAGAATTATTAGGCAAGTTGTATTTTTGAGGATTAATTTTATTATTGAACAACAACCATGTTCTCAATGAACCCAAAAAACTCATTAATATCAAAGCTGAATATTTTTGGAAGTAGTTTTTAGTTTGTTTTTAGTTATAGCTATGTTAGGGGGATATCTGTGTGTGCAGGTGACTATTACTGTGCATAATTATTAGGCAACTTAACAAAAAACAAATATATACCCATTTCAATTATTTATTATTACCAGTGAAACCAATATAACATCTCAACATTCACAAATATACATTTCTGACATTCAAAAACAAAACAAAAACAAATCAGTGACCAATATAGCCACCTTTCTTTGCAAGGACACTCAAAAGCCTGCCATCCATGGATTCTGTCAGTGTTTTGATCTGTTCACCATCAACATTGCGTGCAGCAGCAACCACAGCCTCCCAGACACTGTTCAGAGAGGTGTACTGTTTTCCCTCCTTGTAAATCTCACATTTGATGATGGACCACAGGTTCTCAATGGGGTTCAGATCAGGTGAACAAGGAGGCCATGTCATTAGATTTTCTTCTTTTATACCCTTTCTTGCCAGCCACGCTGTGGAGTACTTGGACGCGTGTGATGGAGCATTGTCCTGCATGAAAATCATGTTTTTCTTGAAGGATGCAGACTTCTTCCTGTACCACTGCTTGAAGAAGGTGTCTTCCAGGAACTGGCAGTAGGACTGGGAGTTGAGCTTGACTCCATCCTCAACCCGAAAAGGCCCACAAGCTCATCTTTGATGATACCAGCCCAAACCAGTACTCCACCTCCACCTTGCTGGCGTCTGAGTCGGACTGGAGCTCTCTGCCCTTTACCAATCCAGCCACGGGCCCATCCATCTGGCCCATCAAGACTCACTCTCATTTCATCAGTCCATAAAACCTTAGAAAAATCAGTCTTGAGATATTTCTTGGCCCAGTCTTGGCGTTTCAGCTTGTGTGTCTTGTTCAGTGGTGGTCGTCTTTCAGCCTTTCTTACCTTGGCCATGTCTCTGAGTATTGCACACCTTGTGCTTTTGGGCACTCCAGTGATGTTGCAGCTCTGAAATATGGCCAAACTGGTGGCAAGTGGCATCGTGGCAGCTGCACGCTTGACTTTTCTCAGTTCATGGGCAGTTATTTTGCGCCTTGGTTTTTCCACACGCTTCTTGCGACCCTGTTGACTATTTTGAATGAAACGCTTGATTGTTCGATGATCACGCTTCAGAAGCTTTGCAATTTTAAGAGTGCTGCATCCCTCTGCAAGATATCTCACTATTTTTGACTTTAAGAGAGATGATCCTTGAGAATAAAAGCCAGGCTTGTAAAATGATAGGTGCCTGAGCCAAGGTGAGACATTGCACTTAAATACTGGGGAAAAGGGGGGATGTTAGAGGGTACACTTAGGTTCAAAAGTGATTAAAGGGGAATGAGAGTGGCTCCAGACGAGCTAGGAGTGTCAGTTCGGATTCATGGAGGCCAATGGGAATGAGGAAGAGGGTGACCCAGTGGTGAGAATAGAGAGAAGATATGGCAAGAAGGTAACCTGGGGATTAAAGGAGGGGTTGTAGATGGGGTATTTTTCCCCAGAGGGTGAGGAGAGATACTGAGGGCATTGACTGCCTATACTGATAACAGGGGGTAAATGTCAAAATAGGGAACATATTTAAAATAACAAATTTTGTTAGGGCATCATACAACATATAAATATAATATACCATAAAGCCCCTGCTTGGGTTAATATTGATTTGGGGATATAAAATGAGTATTTACTAATGTGTAAATTGTTAGGAATTTAAAGTACATAAAAGAGATTTTGAAATGTTGACTAAAACAGCCACATTGAAGACAGCGCTAACTTTTAACATTTTTCCAAATTAGCTATTATAGTTTACAATTTAAAATTCTCTTTCAGTTCTCACTTTCGTAAATAGCCCTGTGTTTGTTAGCTAGGACTGGGAGTTGACGAGGACTTGTTTGAGTTCAGGAGGAGCTTGGTGTTACGGTTATCAGGGTACTTGGGTTTTGAGGGAATCCAGCTTAGGTTTGGGGATACTATTAAAATAGTGTCTGGTGGAAGTGCAGTTTAAGATCTCTGTAATAGCTTAACAGCTCTATTTAGAAATATATGTTTGAGATATTAATCTAAACTTGTCTGGCACTTACAAGGTTGAGGCCCGTCTCATATATTTCAGTAATAAACTGTTGTTTCTCAATGTAAATTAAAAACACTGATTAATAGGTACTTCACATTTCCTGGGATCTTTTAGAGCTGACATTATAAATTATAAATATTCAGAGCATATTTTTGCTGGTCATGATCATTGAAATCACAAACAAACAAACAACTACAGTCTGTAATGAATGCTGCAGCTAGACTGATTTTCCTCTCTAGTCGGTCCTCTCACACCTCACCCCTCTGCTGGTCCTTACATTGGCTCCCTGTATGCTATAGGAGTCAATTCAAAGTGCTAACCCATACATTTAAAGCACTGAACAATTCTAGCCCCACTTATATCTCTTCACTAATCCATAGATATGCCCCTCCTCGTACCCTCCGCTCTGCCCGTGACCACCTCCTGACCGCTGCTCGCACCCGTACGGCCAACTCGCGCTTGCAGGACCTCTCGCGGGTGGCTCCTCTCCTATGGAATAGCTTGCCTACTGCCATCAGACTCTCCCCTAGTCTTCAATCATTTAAGAAGGGCCTTAAAACCCATCTCTTCAGGAAAGCTTATGGCCTCCCAGAGTAATCTCTACCTTACATACCTGTCTTCTGCTCTCTCCTATGGGACAGTGCTTTGCTCTCTCCTCCAGCTCTGCTTCACTCCTACTTGATATTTCTTGTCCTAATGTTTCCAATACCCCACCTCCTATAGTCTGTAAGCTCGTTTGAGCAGGATCCTCTTCAACCTATTGTTCCTGTAAGTTTTCTTGTAATTGTCCTATTTATTGTTACATCCCCCCTCTCAAAATATTGTAAAGCGCTACGGAATCTGTTGGCGCTATATAAATGATAATAATAATAATAATAATAATAATAACAAACAAACACTCATCTTACTCAATCTTCATCTTAAATGTTGTTGGGGAAGGTTATTTGGGGGTTGAAGCCCTAGTTGCAGTACTTGCATTGAATATCTGGCTCTGCAGTATATTCTTGTATCCAGCTATGGTTTCACTGAGATCTTGAAGAACATCAACAGTACTCCGTTAATGGGTAGAGAGGAAGGGGACATAATCTAGAACCAAGCAATGGCCTCAATCTACAGTATTGGTTTATGGGTTGGAATTCCCATACTTTGGCAGATCTTACATTAAACTTGATAATATGTAATGTTCCCCTTGTTCTAGCAGAGCTGTAAATATATATACATCGCATTCTATTTCCCTCTTGCACTGACCTGGGGTAATAACAGATTGCTCCCTTTTGGTGTAAATGGTAAATATTATTGTATATATTGGCCACCACCGATTTTCCATGTCACCGACACACTTACCCAAGTTTAGGAGCAGCACGGTTGTAATAGCAGAATTCATGGTGAATCGCCTGCATGCAGCTCTTTCTATACACTGTC